AAAAAAAAAAAAAAAAAAAAAAAAAAAAAAAAAAAAAAAAAGAATTGAGAAGGGTTCATAGTTTATATTTTTTAATTTTACTTTTTCTTTTTTATAAGTTATATGCATTAGGATCTCTTTAGATACTTACAGGAAAGAATTATGTATGTGTGTATGTATGGATGGATGTATGGATGGATGTATGGGTGGATGGATGTATGGGATGGATTTATGTATGTGTGTATGTGTATTTCAAAGCCCAGGGTGATTAAGTAATTGAAAAGAAATGCATTTTTTGAAAGAAATGCATTCTTATTGCTTCCAAGTAAAAGCAAAGTTTTAGACATTAGCATGTTTTCTAGTTTTGGCCCACTTGAGGGAGTAGATAAGACTGATTTGTAGGTGATACCAGATATTCTCAGCGCTTTCAGTCCAGGACCATCACCTGTATCGTTGGGACCATCCTCAAAAGACGGGAACTGTTTTAGAGCTCCTCGTCTTAGGACAAGGTATTTTGAAGTATTTGGAGATCTGCAACAGAACAATACAGATCCACTATATCTTAATGGCTATATCCAAAACCTGTGCTTATGCACTGAGGGGGGTGTAAGCAATGTGTGTCGTTTTCATTGAGCTTTTGATGGTTCTCTTTCTCAGCTTTAGAACGCCAGCTATCAAAAGGTCAATCCTTGAAAGCTCTCCGAGAACCCCCACACCATTCAAACATGCCCTTGCCGCTCAAGAAATCAAATACGGTCCCCTGAAGATGCTAGTAAGTTCGAGAAAGGTCCTTAGATTTAGCGCGCTTACACGTGTAGATGATAAGTATCCTCTGATCCAGAAATATCCACTCTTCCCTTAGCCTCAGACACCCTCCCACTTAGTGGAAGACCTACAGGATGTGATCAAGCAGGAATCCGATGAATCTGGAATTGTTGCTGAGTTCCATGAGAATGGACCCCCACTACTGAAGAAAATCAAACAGGAGGTGAGTTCCCCTAGCTCCTCTGCACTCTGAACTGCATGGCATCCATGCTAGGTGGCGATGACACTTCCTTCACAAGACTGTCATGCAAAAATAGTTGAAAGGCACTGGTGTACTGCAGACTCCCATCTTCCATTTGAAAATTCAGTTACATCAACTTCTTTAGACAGAAAAGATACTAGAGAGGGGTACAGGGAGGAAGGGGCAACAGGTTTATACTCCACTTTCAGAAATTATTGATATAGTGGTAATGAGGTCACCGATCCAAATCATGGCCAAATTAATTAAAGCAAGATTTTTTATTCATGCATATGGACTGACCCTCTCTATCACAGGGCTCAAGAAGTCAGCATTGAACGTGGGGAAAATAAGGGTTTTTATAGCTCGGGGGTAGGGGGCTACAGAGCAGAACATAAAACATAACATATTAAGCATACGCATGACACGTTGGTTATAACAACCTCCTGAAACCAAGACATATTTGCAAGGTGACGGTCATAACAATGTTTTGAAACAAAGGCATGGTTGTTGTTTCCTGAAACATACAATACTGAACCTTTGTACTTAAGGTCATAGATGGGGCATAGCCCAGTCCTTCAGAAACAGAGATTTAATCATAACAGGAATGAACCAAGTTTATCTTTACTGTAAGACCTAAGATGGAGGCGAGGCTGGTTCATCAATAAGGGGGATGGACAGGTGGACAAAGAGACAGGCAGGCAGGCAGGCAGGAGATAGATAAATGACAGATTCATTTCTGTCGTCTTAAGTACCAAGAAATAGTTTATTCTAAGACAGAATGACCATGGCCAGAGAATATAGATTCAAGAATAGGAGTTTCCAAGCCCAGCAGAATGAAATTTTAACCGTCAGAAATCTAAGTGCTAACTTACTGGGAAGAGCCATTGCTAACAGGTTGAACCCGCCATTCAGGCAAGACTTTGTGTTCCTAAGACTGGGGTAGAAATTTACACCTGATAGTAAGTGTTTCCTGGAAGTCTCTTCCATAACAAAGCACTTCCTGTTTGCTTTTAGGTGGAGTCACCCACGGATAAAGCAGGAAATTTCTTCTGCTCAAACCACTGGGAAGGGAACAGTCTGAGTACCCAGCTGTTCGCTCAGGCATCTCCCGTGGCAGATGCCCCAGTGAGTATCATGTGGGCTCTTCTGTGATGGTGTGTGTGTCTCATGGACTCCCGTGGGTGGTGTGGGGGACCACAGTGCCTTTGGCTCTCACTTTTTACGTCGTTGGGTTTCTAAGTATTCACACCCACAGATTCCTTTGCATTTGCTTTGTCTTCTAAATGTCTTATTTCCTTCCAGTTAAGCAATCTGTTGTTTGGTTCCCTGCTACCTAGACAGTCGTGGTGTGCAGCAAATGCTTGGCATTCTAGGTCCTACCCTAGGGGTCCTTCCATCTCCACTGGAGATTGGTCCCGCACCAGATGCTCTCATTCTTTAATTAAGATGGCACAGTGTTTGCATATAACCCATGCAATCCTCCTATGTGCTTTAAGTCGCTTTCGGATTAACTCCCATCTCTCATGGTGTGTAAATGCACTTTTCTGTGTCAGTGTTTTGGTTGGTGAACCCATGCACGCAGAGCGGAAGCTCTGTCACCTTGCTCTGGTTATTACTACATTCTAACAGTTAATCTGTGGATAATGCCTCCTACATCTTAGGGACAAGCGAAGCCAGTGAAAATCATTCATAGTTACTCAGTGTGTACTAACTGCTAAGTACAAATTCAAAGGCTTTAGGTGAATTCATTCTTGTAAGCTTCAAAATAATGTTGCTGACATTTTCGCTTTCATTATACCAACTGCACCACTGGGTAACTTAATGGTTTAGTGGCTCAGTGTTAGAAACTTAGCTGCGTGGTGCTGCCTTAGAGCTTGGAGAGGGTGTTTGCCAAGGCCGCACTTTCACCATGTACTGCGCTGCTCTTGATTTGTAGTTCTCAAATACTTCTGGGCCAATAGGGAACATAAAGCGCTCTCGTGAGTACGTCTCTTGTTTTTAGAAGCATGGATTAGTAAACTCATCGGGTAGATAGATTTTTTTTGTGTACATGCCATATGTCAAGAATTAGGTGGGACCCTGCAGCATTCTTATTGTTTGGGGAATGTTTGCAACAATGGGTTGGGAAGCCAGTATAGAGTCGGCTCCTTTTGGCTCAGAGAGGAAGGAATTTCTGGCAGACACTTGCATGTCTTCGTGCTAATGCGTGTCATCTCGTAGTAAGCTACTCTCCAGAGTTGGGTTTTATGTTCCTTTTTGTATTATCCCACCTCATTTAAATTTCAAATGATTCCTTTCCCTTTAGAATATTCTCACCAGCTCTGTTTTAATGACACCAGTGTCTGAAGACGAAGACAATGTTCTCAGAGCATTTACAGCCCCTAAAAACAGGCCCTTGGTGGGTCCCTTGCAGGTAATGACTCTTCTAACATGTGGTGTCTTAAAATTCACTAACCGCAAATCTGTTACCTAACGTTGTTTTTTTAATGTTTTAGATAAAAAGGAATGATGCTTTAAAGCGACTTCTTAGTGTCTAGAACTCACCCTGTGGTGTTTTTGTTACTACTCATGTGAGACACTGGAAATTCTTGTAAAATCAGGGCCCCCAGCGTGATGAAGTGAAACATTTTTTTTAAGCTGTAACTGAGACTAAAATCATGTGTTACCCAAGAATGTGCTAGTATCTCCTTCTGCTTTTACACAATCGTAAAAATACCTATCTATAGGGTTTTTTAATTTCAGAATTTTATTATGTATGCTTGCCCTATCAACCAGTAATCAAGAGCTGAGAGACTAGATCTCTAATGAAATATGAAATTAGTTAGAAAATAATTGCAGTGCATTTGGCTAGGAGAACAAAAAGGCAGCCATCAGTGTTACGCAGATCATCTGGGATGACCATCTGCCATCAACTTTTTATATCAAAAGAGATTTCCCTTGTAACTCTGAAGTAGGTGTCTATTGATGAAATACACACAAATTCCAAATTAATCCTGAGCCAAGTGTAAATAAGAATGCAAATTTGTTCCCTCAAGTTATTTAAAACAGCTCCCAACATTAAATAGCCTAGCACCCAGCCAGCTGCAGCTCCCTCACCCCCACCCCCGTTGTTACTCAGAGGGAAATTCTACCTGATAACCTGGTTAGAAGTAAGAAGTCTTGTGTGATGCCGAAGCAGTGTAAAAGGAGGGCAGACTGTGAGAGAGCTGACCTCTGTTTATAGGACCTTCCCACCACTGGGTTAAGCCTGCTCTCTCCAAACTGTGAGATTCTTCTTCACCCCTCTGTGTAGCCCTGATGGGCTGTGGAACTCACTCTGTAGACCAGGCTGAACTCACAGAGGTCGGCCTGCCTGCCTCTGCCTCCTTAGTGCTGGAATCTAAGGCTTGAGCCACCACCACCCAGCTAAGTTGAGAGAATGTTAAAACCTGTTTTCAAGTATTTGTGATAGTTGCTATCATCTAAATACAGTTTTATTATTTCTTTGGGGATTTTATGCATTATATCTGGATCATAAGCATCTGCAACTCCTCCCCTTAACTCCTCTGAGATCCAGTTCCACCGCCCTGCTTCCCAAATTCTCGTCTTTGTTGTTGTTGTTTTATTCGATAACCTATTGACTCTAATTTGGTCTATCCATAATACTTCCGGGTGTGGAGCCATGATCTGCAGCATGGCCAAACTGCCAGGCGTCTCGTGCTCTGAATGAAACTGACTCTCCCTCTCTAAGAAACCATCAACTGGCCATGACTCCCAGTTAAGGGTGAGGGCTCATGCACCCCTTCCCACTGCATCCTAGACTGTTGACTGGTGTGGCCTGGTGCAGTCAGCTGCAGCTGATGTGGGTTCGTGGGTGCCATGGTTCTCCCATGCCCAGAAGACACTATTCTGCTTGACGTTTCCTCAGTCTCTGTCTCTTACAGCGTTCTAACCCCCTACCCTCCCCACTCTGTGGTGGTTCCTAAGTTTAGAGAGAGCTGTAACGTAGATATTCGTGGCTGAGCACTTCTCAGGCACTTATTCTCTCTGTCCCATAATTTACTGACTCCAGTTTAGCCAGTTAGGAGTGTCTGTTAGCCACCATCCAACACACAAAGAAACTTCTCTGATGGGGTCTGGGGGCTTCACTAATAAACTGGTAAAGAGATATGAATTTAGAGTTTAATACTGTGTTCATTTATCAAAATAATAGTAGATTTAAATATGGGCCTGTGAACTCCCCAACCATGGGTTCTTGAGCAAATCTGTAGTACCCAGTATATGCTTACTCCTATGAAGTAGGCCTTAAAGTTAATAAGAAAACAGTTGGTTACCCCCTATCCATCTGTGCCACTGTTGCCACCATGGGTGTATCTTGCTATGTGGGTCATTACTGCATTTCACAGCATAAAACTGCGTAAAACTGATGCTGACTCTCTGTCCTCTCACAGTCTTTATAGCATCTTTCAGTCCTGTGAAAACTAACCAGTATGGAGGAAGCTTCCTGGTTAGTACTGACCCAGAAAGACAAACATCGCATGTAGATTTTATTGTTGGATCTTTTTATTTGTGTGTTTAATTTGGATTGTCTGTATAATCTAGGAGTCTAGAAGCGGTTCGTTGGTGTGGATGGGGAAGAAAGATCTTAAGGGGGAACAATAGAACAAAGGTGATATGAAGGGGAAAATAGGGATAATGGGGGAAGGTTTAAGTGGAGAGAGGGATGGGAGGATGGAACAGAAGGTGCCGTTAAGAGAAAGACAACCAACACTAAGGATGTTTGAAAAAGCCATGTGGAATCCTAGCTGTATAATGGTTTTATCTATATAATTTAAGTTACCCTTCAAAGAGGATTATGCTCATTTCAGAAGCATAGGTGGCTAAATAAAACATCCAGTGCTAATTGGGGGATAACTCCCCTCTAGATGCCAATCCGAGGTACTGTGGCAACCCCAAAACAATACAGGCTATTGCCATTGGGCTCGGTTGACATTTAGACTCCACCGGTGAAGACACTGCACACTTTGGTCACAAGACACAAAGAAATCAAGTTGGTCCTTGTTATCACTTTTTGGGTAATATAGACAACCAGATTGAGTTATAGGTACAGTTATTCATTAATGCAGTTGGATCACTTTCCTGTCGCTTCCCTCAGATACTAACTGCTTTGATGAAAGATGGGTGTGGGAGAAGGAAGGCCAATACTTATGCAAAGTCAGTTCTTGGGGCAGTCATGCTTGAGTTGGCTCTGCGTAGTGCAAACTCAGAACACCACAAAGGTACAGGAGGTGGCCTGGTAGGACACAGAAAAGGGATTAAAAGGATGTCAGGGCAAGGGGCAGCCATTTTATCAAGAGAGCTGATCGCTGGTGTAGAGGGAAACCCTTGCTTTGTTCCTTGGCCCTTGGTTCCCAAAGCATTGGATTTGACGATTGCTGTTCATACTTTAAGCTGCATTGAGTTTCATGCACATTTTATAGCCTAGTCCCAAGATTCAGTCGATGTTTAGTGAAGCTATACAAAGTGTAGCCTGGTGTGAAGTTGCACGGCTTTTATCTGAGCATTTTGGAAGCAGAGGCAGGCAGATCTTCGGGTTTGAGGTCAGCCTGATCTACATAGAGTTCCATACCAGCAGAGCTTCACAGTGAGAACATGACCAAAAAAGAAAAAGAAAGAAATGAAAAGAGGGACCATTTTGAACTTCACAGCGCATGTGTATATTTGGTGGCAGCAATTATTTCATATATCGAAAACTCATGATTATGCTCCTAAAATTAAATCCTACTGGTTTTTGCCTTAATCAAACAGCGGTTAGGCTAAACTATTCAGAGCTGAACATGGATAGATATAAAACTTAATAAAAAACAGGTCGTCTAAAATGTCAGTCTGACATTTTCATGTTGTTTGAGGCCGGGTCTCTTTACCACTGTGTAAGCCAGGCTATCTGGCCCGTGAGCTTTAGGCGGAGAGGGGGAGGTGGGAATCCACCAGTCTCCAGCCTAAGTCTCCACACTGGGATTGCATGGGTTCTGGGCATCCAAATTCGAGTTACCAGGCTTCTGCAGCGAGTATTTTTACCCACTAAGCTCTCCAGTCCCTACTGCAGCATTATTAGTGCTATGAACATTTTAAAAGCCAGTATGGACTTTGTCAACAGGGGCATCTAGTCTCTAAGACTATAGATGTACAGATGTGATTTCTAAAATGTTTCAGACTTTCATGATAAAGATTGAAGAGTACATAAAATGAGTCTGAATATTTAAACACATCCCTAATGTTCTTATTATCTCAACCCAGCAACATTTAAACGATATTATCCCTTACCTATGAGCCTGTGTTTTTCTCTTTCCCTTACCCCCACCTCCAGCCAAGTGGTGCCTGAATCGTGGCTGATCTCAAATATTACATACACTACGTTTTTATATACCTATCATAAACTCTCGTGTATAAATTAGGCAGTGAGAGTAATTGCAACTAACAATGAAATACAGCAAATATAATATAATATAATAATATAATATAGTTATTTTAATCCCATGAATGCTTATTTCTGGATATTCTAATACTTTCTGACCACCGCTGACCGCCCCCCCCCCCCCAAATAATAACAGAAGCTAAAAAAAAAACACAAAAAACCCAGAAAGCAAAACTGAGGGCAGGGCATAAGTAGATCCGCTGTTTTCTCATACAGCGGTGATTTTGTTTATTTAAACATAGTTCTAGTTCCTGAATTTCTGTTGGTAGTCCAGTCGGAGCTATGGGTGAACATATCATGCATGTATTAGATGACCGGGCTGTTCGACTGCCTTAGACAGTTCTCTGGCTGTGAAATAAATAATCTGACAAAAGCAAAGTACGGATGGAGGCACGTGTGTTGGCTCACAGTTTGAGGGTATCATCCTATACAGCAGCAGGAGCTCGAGGCTGCTGGTCACGTCCAACCAGAAAGCCGAGAGCAATAAACGCTGGTGTTCATCTTGCTTCCTCCTTTATAGGCGATTCAGGACCCCAGCCCGGGGAATAGTGTTGTCCAAGTTTCGGGTGTATCTTCCCTGTTCAGTTAACTAACCAAGACAATCCTTCAGATACTCTAGAGGCCAGCATTCATTAGATAATCCCTCCCAGAGCGCCCAGAGACTCGTCTCCCGAGTAATTCTAGATCCTGTCAAGTTGCCAATCGCTCTCAACCATCTCATTGAATAAAGCACATTTTATATAATCTATAACTTTTTTTAATTCTTACCCTTAATAAATTAAATATTAAATATTAAAACCTGTCTAAACATTTTTGTGATAGCATAACGTTTTTGGTTTTACACCATGTTTTTTGAAATGGGGTCTTACCATATACTGGGTAGCCCAAGCTGGCCCCAAATTTGTGGCGATCCTCCTGCCTTTGCCTCCTGAGTGTTGGGATTACAAATTGTAATTCAC